CGCCTCCCCCCCCCCTCTCCTCTCCCCCCACCCCTGTTGTTCAGCATGCTCCATTCATAGTTTTTCTTCTTCTTCTTCTTCTTCTCCATTCACTGTACCAAGCAGGGATCCAGCAGCAGCAGCAGCAGCAGCAGCAGCAGCAGCAGCAGCTGCTCCGCCCACAGGTCTCTCCTCCACACAGAGCTCTGTGTTTGGATGCATTGACGTCACAGCTGACGCACAGCAGCCTGGAGTGGCCGGCGCCACCAAAACACCCGGATGTTGAGGCCTGAACAGAAGAATTATTATTAGCCAGCAGAGGGAGAGATTCAAGAAGAGAATGGGTGAGGGTTGGGAGGGTGTGGGGGGGGGAGAGGCTGTTGAATAATAATAATAAAAAAAGCCAGAACAGCATGTTGTCACCGTTTGGTTTCATCCATGAGGAACACAGAACTTGGTCCCAGATATAAAACAAATAAAACACATCACATATATATAAACAGTGTTACGTATATATTATTATTTTTTATTTTGATAAAAGTACATTGTGTTTGACATAGCACCATCCACTGGTTGATGAATGATGTTGTTGATGATCATCACCTTTCAACCCTGTCACAGACTATTGGAGAAAATATAGCAGAACAAAACTGTTAAAAAAAGTTGTAAGTTTGTTTATTGTTCAATAATGTTTAAAGATACTGATTTAACATTAGTCCAGCTCAACTCGTTGGATATTAATGACAATAACTATGGTTTTATGGTGAAAATAATAATAATAATAATAATAATAATAATAATAATAATAATAGCAATAGCAATAAAAGCTACAGGCAAAATTAGGAACAAAAAAGAAAAAACATTAGAAACAAAAAAAAGGTTTTACTCTGTGGTTTAATTTAGAGGATGTCTTTTTTCTGTTAAATCCTGCCACCTAGCGATCATAAATAGAAAGCGACGGTACTTAAAACTTCCTGTACCCCCACACTGTTGTTGACGCGTTAATGTTTACATTCATGTAGCACGTCAATGCTGACGCACCGTGTCATATAGGTTGATAGATTCTGGAAGAGGAATGAAGATGGTCGGAATAGTGTCTGGATTTCGTTTCATTCCCACAGCTCTGCCGCAGTGCATTCAAATTGCCAGAGGGTGGCGGTAGTGAGACAACAAGGCTGTCACCTGCCTTACAGACTCGAGGAAGAAGAAGAGCACTACCTTTGGCTAGCGATAACGACTAGTTGCTAACCTTTATACTGTGAGTCTTGATAAAGCATTAGAGTGAGAATTGATCCTCGGCACAGACTCGATAGCCGCTGCCGGCGGGTCATGCAGCTTTTTAAAAGGTAATGAGCCGCAAAGCCCCGGGGTCTCGGCTCAGCGGCGCCCACAAACTGCAGCCACAGTGGAATGACTGGGAGGCCAGGTTGGTGCTGTGCTCCGGGGGAGGGTGCACTTACACTTCGGCGCTGACTGCCGTCAGGCCTGTGTTCTGCTGCTTGTTTGAAGCTGTTGAGAACAGAACTTCTTGTCGTTATTATCCAACACTTCAGCCCCGTTCTTGCACGCGCTCTTTTCTTTTACTGAACTCGCATGTCGAAGCCGTAAGCGGCGTGTTGGCTGCTTTAAAAACCCGCCTCATACATGGCTAATGTTAGCTTTGCTTGGTGTAGCCGTGAGTTAGCCTAAAGCTAGTAGACAACAACTAATGCAACAATTTTATTGTCAGTGCGAGTGTTAAACTGAATAGTTGGTTTTAATTGTGACACTAAGGTTTAAACGACTGACTACTTTTATTTGTGTGAATTTCACCTCTCCTGCCTTTGCTTTATGTTCTAGCTGTAGCGATAAACAAGCAGCTAGCACGGCGAAGACGCCACCCTTTTACCCTGACGACGTCCCCTGGAAGTTAAATGTTACTTGGAAATGTTAACATAAATGTATATGACACTTGGCCGATATTACTGTCGAAAGCCCGAGCATTAGCTGTGTATTTAAAAGTGGAAAGCGCTGCCTGTGTAGCAGGAGTGCTAGCATCACGTGTTAGCTCGTTTCCTGGCATCTAAACAGCAGGTGTAGACAGTGAACTGGATTTAGTCTCTCATCGTTGTTTGGAAATGTTTCAAATTAAGAACTCCTACATATTTTACTTAAAACAATCAGCCATATGAATTACGTGTTTTTCATCAACGATCACAAATAACTAAAAGAATATAATACGAGTAAACGCTGTTATTATTCGCTGTTAATGGCCTTAAGGTTATAGTTAATTTATTATGATGATGTCACATTTTGTGAATATATTGTGGCCCTGTGATTGTACACATTTTACGACTGTATTGTCCTTTAAATATATTAGTGAGTGCAGAGTGTCTTTGTAACATCAGATGTCAGTCTTTCGTCACAGAGCGGCTATTGATAGATCTTTATGTCCGGGACGGTCCACAGGTGTGTTTCTAGTGGGATTTTCTCATTTGTCACACACACACACACACGGGAGTACACATACTGGCACTGGACTTACCAATGTCCAATTCAGGGAATGCGTGTGTGTGAGAGTTTATATTTTTAGATTTTTAGTGACAGCTGTTGGCACGTTACAGGTGACCACTGATGACACCTACTGTTCGTCACCATGGGTCCTTAAATTGTAGAGTATGTGGAACACTGTTGGAGCTCAGTCATCTGTCAGACAGATTATGCGTAGGCAACATTTTGTGGAAACTGTTTACAGACACAACTCTCTCTTTTCCCCCTGTAGGGGGGGCTATGAAAACACTTGTATTGCGCCTAACCCCATTCAGAGATAGAATATGAGAAATAAAATCCTCACATAGGACAATTTAAGTGTACCGTGCCGTGGTGCTGTACACCTCCAACAACCGGGTCTGTAAACCAACCCTGATTTGAAACATATTCTGACAATTAAAAACTCTACTCCTGAAATTTTACCTTTTATAATATTGAACTTGTACATAAAGCGAGCCAGCATTTAGTCCCAGCTCAGATCCTTGAATTTAATCCTGGAGAAGTGTAAAGGAATTTATTATTTAGTCATTATTATTATTGATATTACGGTGTGGTTTATTATTTATTAGCATATATTTATATTCAAAAACCTTATTTTATACACAGTCTTTGTTGACTTTTTTCCCCAGAGTTGACGGCGTGTCATCCAGCCAGGACAGAGTGAAATCCAGGGAGCTCGTGTCAGGAGCTGTGTGTGACGTTGTCGCCTCCTCTAACTGCCCCGAACAGCCAGCAGTGGACAGTGATGCCTACGCTGCTGCAGATCAACACCAGGAAGAGGGTGAGCACCTCACTTTTTTTTTTTTCTTTTTTTTTTCTCGACACTCAGATCACAGCCCATTAATGAGTGATACGGACTTTGGAATTCACTTGTCCGACCGCTTGTGTCCCACAGGTGGATATGATGCTGGCCAAGGTGTCTGTGATAATGCTTTTGGTTGGAAGTCGCTGGGGCAAGAGTTGAGGCCCAATGACGTGACGACGGATTTGACTGCTTTTCAGCATGGAAACCGTGCTTTAGCTGCCAAGGACATGAGGAAATCACAGGGTGAGCATCAAGATGATCAAGACGGTGACGGGTACAGTGCTGTGCAGAAGTTTTAGGCAGCGGTACAGGGTAATGCTGCCCAGTACAGTGTGTTCTTTTAGTTTATTTTTTAACACGAGTATTTTAGAAACAGAAAAATATTCAACATTGAAATTGAACTTCACGTCCCTGATGGTGGACACGCCCCCCACTTTGGGAACCCATGAGCAGGAGAAATGTACAGCAAAAAGCACATTATTAAATTAGGTGAAAGAGGAAAATGAGAAGAATGTCCTTTAGACGACCAAAATAATGAAGGTGTTAATGGAGTGGTGTCAAAACTCTGGTGCGCAACTAAGGATCAAACAGTGCATTGTACGTTGTTTTTTTTTTTTTGATTGGAGTGACAGTGTTGTACGGTGGCTCTTCCTGCAGACAGAGGGACTCACTCAGAGGAGTCTCGACTGGCCAACCTCCTGCGCCGTGTCTCCAGGGAGGATGATCGCGACCGCAGGCTGGCCACTCTCAAACAGCTGAAGGAAATCATCAGCCACGGAGAGATCAAAGTGGTGAGTCTCTTCCTGTCTTCTCCTTGTCCGCAGCGGGAGGACGAAGTGGACGGCGTTCTAACGTCTGAGCTTCAACTGAACTGAACTGAACTGAAGTCACTGTAGAGCTTTTAATTTTGACCTGATCTGAGGTCAGTCTGAGGAAGTAGTTTCATCAAAACTCAACAGAGCTTTTCACACTTCACTGTCCATCATGTGAAGATATCAGTGGGAGGTATTTCTTAAAAAGCACTCTCATAATAAGAGTATAAAACAGCAGTCACCAACTATAATTGTCAGAGGATTCTATTTTTAAACCTTTTTTTGTACAGTTATTTTTTTCACTATTTGTACTTTTATTACATACGTCACTGACCTGTTGTTTTTTCTTCTCTCTGTGACTCAGACTCTGGTCAAACAGTTGGACAACATCCTCAACATCTTGAATGACATTTTAAATGAGAGGTAAGAGGAAGTGGTGACACTTTTTCAAGGCATGTGTTGTATGTAAAATAGTTGTAACATGAGGTTTTTATCCTTTTTTTAAATCGTAGTTTTCCTGAGTTTAAATCAGACGTTGTTGTTGTTTTTTAAATCTAAATTTAAGGGAAATACTGCAGAATTTTTGTATTATGACTTTCCTACCAGAAGGGAGACAATGTATCTTTAAGATAATGAAACAATATCAAAAATATTAAATTTAGCTTCACACAAGGGTAAAAGATCTCGCTCATTTAAAAAAAAAAAAAAAAAAGCAAACAGTTATCTGATCTGACTGTATCTATATCTGACTGTAGTGGGTTTTATAACCTTAACTTTTACAAATGTTTTTCTGATCTTCATGTGCCAAAGTGGAAAAAAAACAATTATTTTGTTGGTGGTGTGTGTAGCAGTAAGCTGCTGTGGGAGTTGCGTCAGGATGCTGCAGCCTGCCTGGGAATCCTGTGCACGGTGCTCAGCTACGAGGCCGAGCGTATCTTCGACTGGCTTTTTGTCAAGTTCACCTCCAGCAGTCGAGACGAGGTGAAGCTGCTGTACCTGATCGCAGCACAGAGGGCGCTGGAGGCTGCAGGAGAGAGGAAGGCCTTCTCCCATGTCATGCAGGTAAAACACACACACAGAGACACACAGAGGCTTTGGTTTTCTCTCTTTAAATACTAATTTAGCAGTTCATCACTGCCATGTCAGGCTGTTAAACAATACAACCACTAGGGGCACCGGTGAGTTCAGAGTTTATATTTTGAACTGAGGTAATTTCCTCAGACATGGTAGAGGATGTGGTGATAAAGATGTATAGATGTTCTCACTTCTCGGCTGGCAACAACACTGCCCCCTTGAGATTTCCTGTGGTACTGCTCTATTTCATGTTTTTGGGATATATGTCTGTAAACTTTCTGAAAAATGCAGCAATGTACTTAGTGTTGAGAGTGAATATAATTTAAAAAGTCAAGACTGAACTTCCACCTGTTCTGTGATCTGTGTTCCAGCTGGTGATGAGTAACCTGCAGTCCATCCTGGAGAACGTGGACACACCGGAGCTGCTGTGTCAGAGTGTGAAGTGCATCCTCCAGGTGGCTCGTAGCTACCCTCACGTGTTCAGCACCAACTTCAGGGTGAGTTCTTCCTGTAAGACTTCACGTTGACGCTGATGTCCGGGGGTCAGCGTCCAAGCAGAACTCCTCTGACGTCCTCTCCACCTTCTGTTACAGGACACAGTGGACATCCTGGTGGGCTGGCACATCGACCACACACAGAAACACACACTCACACAGCAAGTCTCAGGTCAGTTGGTTTATTATTTAAAAAAAAAAAAGTGGTTCAAGTGTGAACTGTACGATTTATCAGAATAATTATCAGTTCAGCATGAATCAACTGAAAACACATTTATTTATTAAAAACCCGTGTGACTCTGTTGGTGTTCAGGATGGCTACAGAGTCTGGAGCAGTTCTGGGTGGCAGACCTGACCTTCTCCACCACCCTGCTGGGTCAGTTCCTGGAGGACATGGAGGCGTATGCTGAGGTGAGCTGTGGCAACAAAAAAAAAATTGTACCTTTTTTTTTTTTTAGTCATTTTTACAAATAATTGAAGGTAAAGGGAAAAAAATGTTTTTGTTGTTTTTTTGTTTGATTAGGATCTGGGCCACGTGGAGGGGAGTGAGGCTCTGGATGAGGACATCCCCCCTCCCTCGGTGTCTCTGCCTAAACTGGCAGCTCTGCTGAGAGTGTTCAGTACGGTGGTCCGCAGCATTGGAGAGCGCTTCAGCCCCTTCAGGGGTCCCCCCATTACTGAAGCCTACGTTAATGATGTAAGAGAACGTGACCTTTGACCTAATTACTGCCGTTAATCAACAGTGAAAATGAATTTTAAAAAAGAAGATAGAAATGCATGAAAATGTATTTTAATCTTCCTTTAACCAATAGTTTTGTTTTTTTTTTTTTTTTTTTTACATTTTTGGTCTCAGGTTCTAAACCGGGTCTTGGCCTGTGTGAGCATGGCGAAGCAGGTCCAGTTCTCAGAGACTGTTCTGACGGCGGGGAACGAGAGTGTGGGTGTGTTGCTGGCCAGTGTGGAGCCCTGTGGTCAGCTGATGGAGGCTGTTCTAGCCTATGGCCTGGACCAGCTGGAGTGCTGTCAGGCCTGTGGCACCGACTACAGTCTGGCTGTGCTGAGTCTCCTCACCCTGGTACGAGCTCCATCATCATCATCATCATCATCATCACCACCACATGAGAACTGGTAGAGTTGACGAAGACGTCGTCATTGTTGACGCTGCTGTTTGATTACAGATTGTGGATCAGGTCAATACAAAACTGCCTATTTTCTTCGTGGAGAAATTGTTGGCGCCTGAGTCCAAACTGCTGCAGCTGCGCTTCCACAGAGAGAAAGAGGTGTGTGTGTGTCGTTGTTGTGACGTTTACTACTCCAGCTACAAATTTCAATTATCAACCAGGGTGAAGTCAGTACTCGCTGTACTCCATGTGTGTTTCTGTACTCCGTAGGTGATGACGGCCGTACACAGTGTGTACCAGGCGCTGCTGAGCCTGAAGAACATTCCCACCCTGGAGGCAGCTTATAAAATGGTGTTGGGTGAGATGGTCTGTGCCCTGTCCAGCCTCGTGTCCAGCCTGGAGTCCGCCGACGCTGCCCAGTCTCCAGACGGGCCGTGCCCCGGCATCCAGCACCCTGCTTTTGCTTCCATTCTTCTGCCTGTGGAAAAGGCCCAGTTCACCCTCATCTTCAACCTCAGCACCCTCACCACCATCGGCAACACCAAGAACTCTCTGATCGGGGTGAGTGGAGGAGGAGGCGGTGGTGGGGGTCGCTGACCTTCCACTGCTGCTGCAGTAGATGTTGATGCTAATCTTTATTTTTATTTTTTTCTTTGTCTGTGTAGATGTGGGCTCTGTCGCCCACCGTCTTCACTCTCCTCAGTCAGAACCTGAAGCTGGTTCACTCAGAGTTGGCTGCGATCTATCCTGCTGTCCAGTACGCAGTTCTCTACACGCTGTTTTCACATTGCACCAGGTACGTGCAAGTGTCTATGATATAATGAGTAGGGATGTCCAATCATTTCAGCCGACCAATGTTATCGGCCGATATTAGCGTAATTACGTAACATCTGTAAGAATCCTTAAAGGTTTTTTTTTTCCAATAATGAAAACATGATGCCTGGGTTTTGCCAAATGATGTGTGGCCTGAAAATACTTTTGAGGAAAAATGGCTGTATGTGACAGTGAAAGCCACTAGATGGCAGCATTGCATCTCATTTTAATAATCAGGAGATTGTATGAATAATTACCAGGTGTTCAATGGTATTTCGGTTCAGGGTTTGAGGGATGACATTAGTGTTTTGTTTATATTTAAAGTCACTCATACACAAATATGGATCATTTATTTTTCTGGTTTTATTTTTCCCTTTCTACTGCACCTGTTTTCGCAGACATGACCATTTCATCTCATCCAGCCTGTCGTCATCTTCCCCCTCACTCTTCGACGGCGCCGTTATAAGCACAGT